ACAAACAAGAGCCACATGGAAAATTTCACATCTGTTTTGGCAGAAGATCTTGAATTATGAAAATAACTGAGTTAAAAAATCTGGGAGAAGTTAGTGTTAATAGGATCTGATTTCATGGACTTCTGACTGACTCTTCTCAGGCAAGGGAAAACAGACAAGCTCATATTAGTGCTTCTTTCCTTAATTTCAAATGACTGGTCAATCATTGAGCCTTCTATGCTTGTTTCCATGACAACAAAAATGTGGAAAGACAAACTATTAAGCATGGCTTTTAAGAAACACAATTACTTATTTTGTAATGTGATGTACGTAACAGAAAATGGCAGTGCAACATGTTGCTCCAAAAGGCTCCATTTGAGTGCTCCTTTAAATTAAGTTGTCTTTCTAACCATCTCATCAAGTGTTAGGGTAGTAAACCCTAGTGAACAGCTAGACCTTGATCCAGTGATCCTCCTAGGCTATTGTTTCTTCAGGCTACAAAAATTCCTACCGTGTTCTTCACTGAGAAGCTACCGTGATGCTCAGTACACAATTATTGCCAGTGTGATAGTTTTGTTTACCTAAAGCAGAAGAGAAATTTCTTGCTCAGTTGGCTTTTGGAGACAGTCATCTGAGCTATGACTCCTGTCTTTACATATATATTCCCACTACTGGTTTAGATCACTCATAAGAATTTCTTCCCAAATCATAATTCCTCTTTTAATATATATATTTCTTGTATTCCACTCTACAGTGGCAGAGACTATTTCTAGAATTTCACTTTGTAACTAGTGCCAATAACATGACCATCAAAAATATAATTCACATATGTTCACTGATAGTACTGAATACATTGCATTGAAATGATATGCTTGGCTATCTGCTTCTCACTAGACAATAATTGCTTCTGGGTTGGGGATGGTGTTTTATTCTATCTCTGGTAATAACAGGAGTATAGTGATGCCTACTATATCCATGAATATAATGTGCTCAGTTATACAAAGGTAATGCTTCAAGGTTTTGATAATAATATAGGATGCTAAAATTTACAATTGTAGAGAATAGTTATTCTCTGCATTTCTTTATACAACAAGTGACATTTCTCATCTCCTGTTCATGGTAAAGAAGATAAATGGTAGAGAATGCATGATAGTTTAATACAAAAAACATACAGTACATAAACTACATTTACAGCATAATTACATGTAATCAGAGGCAAACTGTGGTTCTTTCATTAATTGGATATGGCCCTAAAGAAGTCATGTAATATACTGAATTCCAAGGTTTTAAGTGGGTGTATAATTAGGAAGCAAAACCAGAATTTTAAAATATAATGACTTTGATTACCTTCAGCACATTATGGTGCCAAGGTTTTTATGACATTCTCCTCAATCATTTAGCAGTTTTCTGCTGTACTCAATTAGACAAAGATTACTTGGCTGAGGTTCAGTGCTTTGGGTGTTCTGACCTTGTTTTTCTGTTGGTACTTCTTTAACTCTGGGTCTTAATACTTGTATATTGGTCGAATCTAGTGTTTTTTTCCAGGGCAATTTTTAAAAGTACAAATGCATGGACTCCCCAAAGACAAATTAAGTCAGAATTTTTAACAGTGTGATCACAATATTATTTTCTAAAGTATCGCTAGTGATTCAAAATGCACTTAAAGTTGAATCATTGCTCTATATGCCAATAAAGGTAAATAGAAAAGCCTGACCTCATTGAGTTCTATCCCTGGAATAGCCATCAAGGAATTGGCTACTTTCTAGAGACAATAAATTTAGTTTTATGAATACATATACATGTATGTGTGCATGTGTCTTCGCTATTTTAGTAAATATTATGTTGTGAAAATTAAATATAAAAATCAAATTACATAGACTGAAACTTTAATGGATATTTCAATGAACAGCTCCTTCCATATTATAATTTTGTAGATAAATGCAAATTCAAGTAGTTTAACATAAAAAATATAAATGAAGAATTAAAATGTGAATGCAATAATATAACATATAAGTAAACATTTTCAAAGAATGTACATATTTAGATCAAGAGAAGTCACCATAGTACACAATTATTGGATACAACATTCTGTTCTACCACAACAACTGGTGAAAGATTAAATATGTACTTTGAGCTTAAGTAAAGTATCCAAATGACCAAAAGAGGTTGTTGTCTGAGCAATGAATATATTAACACTATGATCTATGAAATTTGGATATAGGTTTTAGATTCAAAATACATGCTGTTGAAGAAAGCCATCTAATGTCTAGAGAAGTAATTACAGATGATCTCTGACTTACAAAGTTTCTGCTTATACTTTTTTGACCCTATGGTAACACAAAAATCATACAAATTCAGAAAAAAACAAACTTCAAATTTTGAATTTTGTTCTTTTGCTGTGCTAGCGATATGCAATGCCATCCTTGGTTCAATGCTGGGCAACAAAGCCACAGCTCCCAGTCAGCCCCACATTCAGGAGGGTCAATAATCAATACTCTGCTGGGTACTGTGTTGCCAGATGATTTTGCCCAATTATAGGCTAATATAAGCACTCCGAGCACTTTTAAGGTAGACTAGGCAGTGCTGTGATGTTCTGTATGCTAAGTGTGTTAAATGTGTTTTCCAATTATGATATTTTCAATGTACCATGGATTTATTGGGATACAACCCCATCGTAAGTAGAGGAATGTATTATTTCATTCTCATGCTGCTAATAAAGACATAACTGAGACTGGATAATTTATAAAGGAAAGAGGTTTAATTGATTCACAGTTCATCACGGTGGGGGAGGCCTCAGGAAACTTACAATCATTGTGGAAGGGGAAGCAAACACGTACTTCCTCACACAGTGGCAGCAAGGAGAAGTGGCGATCGAAAGGGAGAAAAGCCCCTTATAAAACCATCAGATATCGCGAGAACTCATTCACCATCCTGAGAACAGCAGCATGGGAGTAACGGCCCTGGTGACTCAATTACCTCCCGCCAGATCCCTCCCAAGACAGGCAGGGAGTATGGGAACTACAATTCAAGATGAGATGTGGGTGTGGACGTAGCCAAACCATATCAAGGAACATCTGTATTCATTCCTGAATAAAAATTGCTGAATCTGTTTTAATCATATCTCTCCCTAAGCAAAATGAAACATGTAATTTCGAACTACAGAATGCAATCATTCCTCAGTATGTGAGGGGGATGGATTCCAGGACACCAATGAACAACAAAATCTGAGGTTGCTCAAGTTCCTTATATAAAACGGTGTTGTATTTGCATGTAACGTATATACATTCTTTTGCATACTTTAAACTTAAGAGTACTTATGATACCTAAAACAATGTAAATGTTACATAAATAGTTGTTATACTATGTTGTTTTTTAATGTTTTTGTTGTTGTTGTTGTTGTTGTTTCATTGAAAAAAAAATGTCTTCCATCCATGGTTGGTTGAATCTGAGGATGTTTTGCAGATACAGAGGGCTGACTATATAAGCAAAAATCATTTTAATGATACTTAAAGATCTAATGTAAATGACTTATATTTTAGTTAAAGAGCTTATTTTATTTCTCCATAGTCTACGGATGGCATCAACTAAACTGAGAAAACATAAAGCCAGCTCCTTAAAGGAAGCAACAAGAGATTGATCTATTTCAGTTCAGAGAAAGAATAAGAAACTGGTAACAGCCCCTTCTCTCTAGAATTCCATTCAATGGTTAAACTTGGGGTTGAGTTTTCTGTCCCTCTTCATGAACAAGCAAAACAACCAAAGAGTTAATAACTTTTCCTAGACCAGGACTCAGCTGTAAGGGAATCAACTTTCTTGTCTGGGAAGAGCTGAAGAAGTGGTGTGAGGTTTTCTGAGATTACCTAACAGAACATTATTTGGTGATAGTTACACTAAAAGCCAAGACTTTACCACTATACAATATATTCATGTAACAAAACTGACCATGTGGCCAGGCGCGGTGGCTCACGCCTGTAATCCCAGCACTTTGGGAGGCCTAGATGGGCGGATCACGAGGTCAGGAGATCGAGACCATCCTGGCTAACATGGTGAAACCCCGTTTCTACTAAAAATACAAAAAAATTAGCCAGGCGTGGTGGCAGGCGCCTGTAGTCCCAGCTATTCGGGAGGCTGAGCCAGGAGAATGGCATGAACCCGGGAGGCGGAGCTTGCAGTGAGCCCGGATCACACCACCGCACTCCAACCCGGGCGACTGAGCAAGACTCTGTCTCAAAAAAAAAAAGGAAGAAGAAGAAAAGAAAAAAAAACTGATCATGTACCCCTTAAGATTATATAAATAAAATTTTTAAAAAGAAAAAAACTTGTAACAATTTAATATCATGCATTGATAAAAGAAATACTTGTATGAAATTTTTGACCTCCAAAAATATATGACTTCTATGTTGCTGATGTAAGTTTAATATTAAATTTATATTAATATTTAATTTTAAGAAATTGAAATCCTCTTACCAAATTATTTCCCAGATAATCTGAAAACCTCTAGAAATATGATCCATAAAAACCACAGAAGTACAACCCTTGCAATGAAAAGGTGCCTCAAATACAGATTCTAAATATATTTAAAGTTATTTATTTATTTATTTATTTGAGACGGAGTTTTGCTCTTTTTGCCCAGGCTGGAGTGCAATGGACCATCTCGGCTCACTGCAAACTCTGCCTCCCGGTTTCAAGCGATTCTTCTGCCTCAGCCTCCTGAGTAGCTGGGATTAAAGCGCCCGCCACCGCGCCTGGCTAATTTTGTATTTTGTAGTAGAGACAAGGTTTCTCCATGGTGGTCGGGCTGGTCTCGAACTCCGACCTCTAGTGATCCGCCCGCCTCGACGTCCCAAAGTGCTGGGATTACAGGCATGAGTCACCGTGCCTGGCTATGATTTTTTATATTATAACAAAATTCAGAGAAAAAAAAAAGAATGCCAGTAATTTTTAAAAGTATTTTACCATAATTTTCTCAAGAAGAAAAGAAAATTAGAAGAAAGTAAAAAACATGCTGCTGGTCCGGCCAGCTCGGAGCCAGGGTGGCGGGGGTCCAGCCGGACGTCCCCCTCATGCCAGCGGGGTCTCTGGCGCCCCTCTGGTCAGCGGGGCCCCAGCAGGGGAGGAGCTGCGAGACCACACGGGACACCGGGGTGGGCCCCCAGCCTGGAGCCAATGGCTTGGAGCAGGGGCTGGGACCTGGCAGCACCGGGCCAGAGCCCCCTCTATCCCTGGCCATCGCGGACTCCCGGCGCTCCATACCTGAGGTGGCAGTGAGGTTCGTTGATTGAATAAGCAATGGTGGCCCAGTTGCAAGCAAACGGGTTTCATCACCTTAAATGGTTTTGAATGAATGAAGCCATATTTGCTTAAAAAGACGTACAGCCCATCGTGTGACCTACAGAGTTTGTGGACAGATTTATATTGGGTTCATAGTGGCATCATGCGCGCAGACTCCTGCGAGTTCCCCAAGTTCTTAGAGGACTGCCTTGCCTTTTGATCTGAGTTGCAAAGTTCCATAAAGAATGGCCAGTGTGGATAAGTAGAAAGTTAAGAGACAGCGAGTGCACCGAATCCGTGAATGTATCCGCCCCCAGGTCATGAACGGCCCCCTGCACTCCATCCCCGCCCCGGGTGTCGCTGCTGGACTGCGCGACTGCACCGTGGAGATGCCCATCTCAAAGCACCTGGCCACCATGGCCTACTGTGATGCGCACTCCACGCAGGAGATCCACGAGATGGTTTTACATGAAGCCGTGGATGCCACCATCACCTGCACCAGGGAGGACCTGGAGAAGTTCAAGGCCCTGAGAGTGATTGTGCGGGCAGGCAGTGACTATGACAACGTGGACAAATCAAGGCCGCGGGCAAGCTCAGGATTGCTGTGTGCAACATGCCCTCCGCAGTTGTGGAAAAGACACCCAACTCAACCATCTGCCACATCCTCAGTCTGTACCGGAGGAACACGTGGCTGTACCAGGCACCGCCGGAAGGCACGTGTGTTACAGCGTGGAGCAGATCCGAGAGGGGGCCTTGGGAGGGGCTCGCATCGGTGGAGAGACGCTGGGGCCTCATCGGCTTTGGTAGCACAGGGCAGGCGGTTGCAGTTTGAGCCAAGGCCTTTGGATTCAGCGTCATATTGTATGACCCTTATTGCAGGATGGGATAGAGCGGTCCCTGGGCGTCTACACCCTGCAGGATTTGCTGTGTCAGAGTGACTGCGTCTCCTTGCACTGCAAGCTCAACAGACAAAACCACCACCTTATCAATGACTATGACTATAAACCAGATGAGGTAGGGAGCATTCCTTGTGAACGCAGCCCGTGGTGGCCTGGTGGACGAGAAAGCCTTAGCACAGGCCCTCAATGATGGCAAGATAAGAAGGCAGCTCTTGACGTGCACCAGTTGGAGCCCTTTAGCTTTGCTCAGGGTTCGTTGAAGGATGCGCAGAATCTCATCTGCACTCCTCACGCGACCTGGTAGGTACAGCCAGCAGAGGCGGCTGCCACCGAGATCCGCCGAACCATCATAGGTCGCATCCCAGAAAGCTTAAGAAACTGTGTGAACAAGGAATTCTTTGTCACATCAGTGCCTTGGTCAGTAATAGGCCAGCAAGCAATTCATCCCGAGCTCAATGGTGCCACATACAGATATCCGCCAGGCATCGTGGGCGTGGCTCCAGGAGAACTTCCTGCAGCCTTGGAAGGGATCATCCCTGGAGGCATCCCAGTGACTCACAACCTCCCCACAGTGCCGCATCCTTCCCAAGCTCCCTCTCCCAACCAGCCCACAAAACATGGGGACAATCGAGAGCACCCCAACGAGCAATAGCAGAGAATGCTTGAAGGTAATCATTCAGATACACTTGGGGCCAAGAGACAGTGAAAAATTGATGAACTCGGAGAAAATGAATCTGACGGTCTTTTTAACTGATTCTGGACATATATGCATTATTGATGTTGCAGTGTTAAAACTACAAGAGCTAAAACCTGAATGTCGTCTGCTTACGGAAGCGCTGAAAGAATAGGATGTGATTTATTGATGACCTACTTCTGTCACTGTCTTAAGTTTTTCATCTTAACCACCAAGAATAAATAGAGCTTTTTCCTTTATCAGCCCTTTGGCCACATCAGGTCCTGAACACCCTGCTCTAGAATGTTGCGTCAAGAGTTCAAACACCAAAATAAAAAACACTAAGAGGAAATCCCCATCTGTCTACAGAGGCTGGTTACCTCTTTTTGCTAAGAGGAAGATCACATGACTACAAAATGGGGAGAGAATGGTTTGCCTGTGGTAGACACCTGCGCGCATAGGACTGAAGACAGTAAAGGCTTCTGTACAGAGAAGTATCTCACACCTGAACTGCATTCTGAGCCGGCAAGTTGGTTGTAAGTTCAGTAAAATCTTCTGATTATGTGAAAAAAAAAAAAAAGTATTACGTTTCACAAGCTGTTTGTACTCAGATATACTTTCTCAGTTTCAGATCCTCTGCTATTTTACTGAGTGGAAAGTCTTGAGCTAAAAGGTTCAAGAAGAATAATGTTGCATTTCCTTATTTCTCGGGAAAGACTTTTTATGGTAACGCGTCAGATTGTCTATGAACAAACCAACTTTTTTAGACATTAATAAAGCCTTCTTCATGTGATATTTTACATGAGAACACTTCAGATGTGTTAGATGATTGATTTTAACAAATCCTATTAGATTTCTATCAACTAGTTACATATTCCATTCATAGTCTTTAGTGAGTCATTGTCTTTTTATTTAAAAAGATGGCCTATTTTGAGCCTTTGTATAGGTACATTCCTATTTTAGTGACAAAAGAAAAACTTTAAAATTGTTCCAAACAGAAAAATAATGGCTACCAGGAGTATGTTTTGTTTTAGTGTCAGTTACCGTTACTATATTTGTTTATTGTAAAGGTGGACATTTAGCATTCAGTGCAGTTTTCAATAAAAAATAATTTAAAACATACAGAAGTTGATTAAGTGCTTTATTGCCCTGCCAAGAGGAAAATATATCAGGTCCTGGTGGGTTTACAGATGGGTTTTACACTCCCTGAAGGAAGAGATGATCCCAACTTGATATAAACTATACTTTAAAACAGCATTAAAATAAAGAAAAGCTTGCAATCGGTTTTATGTATGTATTCTGTTTCAATAAAACCAGAATAAGGCCAGGCATGGTGACTCATGCCTTTAATCTCAGCACTTTGAGCTGAGGTGGTTGGATCACCAGAGGTCAGGAGTTTGAGACCAGCCTGACCAACAAGGTGAAACCCCATTTCTACTGAAAACAATAGAAACATTAGCAAGGCGTGGTGGCAGGTGCCCATAGTCCCAACTTCTTGGGAGGCTGAAACAGGAGAATTGCTTGAACCCCAGAGGTGGAGGTTGCAGTAAGCCAAGATGGCGCCACTGCACTGCAGCCTTAGTGACAGAGTGAGACTATGTCAAAAAAAAAAAAGATATAAATATAATATATTTACATTAATTATATAATTATATATAAATAATTTTTATAATACATACAATTATATTTAATACCACACTCCTGTGTGGACATTGAGGCATATAATTCAAATCATGGTTAGGAGATTATGTGCAACTAAAAGAAGACTCAATATCTACAATAGAATGTTCCTTTAATCAGTCTGGAAATTCAAAGCAATTTCAATCAAATTATCAACAGGTGTATTTTGTTTACTTTTTGAAACTTTACGATTTGATTTCAAACTTCTTACAAAGGAGCTACCAGAAATAGTCAAGTCATTCTGAAGTATAAAGAATAACAACTTGCCCTATAGAGTAATAAAATTTGCCATAAAAATCAAGTAATCCAGATACTGGGATATTGGCACAATAGTAGATCAATAAATCTCTAGATGACTAGAACTGAAAGTTAAAATTCACATATACATAATAAAAAGGTAAAAATGTGGGCAGGCAAGATACACATTAGTTTTAGGATTAACAATTTCCTTCTTGAGAAGGAGGGTGAGTAATGAGTAAATATTTCAAAAGGTATTTTTAATAGCATACGGAATGTTATATTTCTTTAAGTAATCTCAAGTAAATATGAAAACTTAAGGATTATTTATCTGCATGATGGGTGAATGGATATTTGTTAGTTTCTTCATGATACTGAAATATTTCACAATACAAACAAATTAAAAACTCATTTACTACACAGGTAGTAACAGAACTTGAATTTTAGACTCTCCTCGGCCTTCAAGTATCTCTGTAAACTTCACTGTCTAAATATTACTTGTCTCATTTATAAAATAAAACTGTCAGAATAGATCTGTAGTTTAAAGCCATAGTCCATGCCCTAAACCGCAAATGACAATGTTCCTGTTTGTTCCAACCTATGTAATTTCCAGGAATTTCAATGGGTCTTGACTTTTAGCTGTATTTATCAGTCAGCCTGTATTTGTCAAATAAGTAACTACAGTTCTTAACTCCCCTTGCTTATTCCTCCAAGAAGGAGGCAATTATTATGACATCTCCAATGTAATGCACTAACTGGTCCTTAATGGTTACCATTTCCAAGTTTATCCTCACCTAATTACGGCAACATGCCCGTAACTTCACATATCCCTTTGGGAAAACAGCAAATGTATACTGGGTTCCATTCAAAAGATTGCAAACAGAGCCTGGCTAGACTTCAATTCTGTATTGAAAGGAAGGCATTAGCTAGGCCTGTAAAGAAGACATGCCAGTCCCTCGCTGATTCTCTCACCCTTCTTGTCCAGTCTTTTCTATATACGATTCAGCTGAAGTAAATGAAGATACCATCTTGTTTAATCCTCTACTCCTAACTTCCAGAGTGTCTGTTTTGCATAATGACCAGATAGGACTATTAAAAGGGAATTTAGCGGGAAATAATACTCCTACTATAACCATTCTCTTAACCAGAGGAGTGATCTCTTGCTGCCCTCCAGGTAAGTTGTTACTTAGCATGATCAATTAGAACTAGGAAAAGGACAGGCTTAGACAATATCCCTGACGTAAAGAATAAAGACAACATGACCATTCACTCATTATATCCATTCCAGTATTGCATTTTAGTAAAGCTGCTAAGGCTTCAGGGTAATCTCTTCAGTTATTTGTAACGCAACCCAATTTGGAAGTCAACCCATTCTTTAATCTCCTCCTATACAGCATTTCCATAAGTTCCTTTCATCGCTGGGCCTTTCATAGCACCATCCTTATTCCCCTAAGGATTACTGTACCTTGAGCTGTACCATACCTTGCAGAATTAAAGTGCTTTGCATACCACTCACTTTCCA